AATAATAATAATAATTTAGTCCCCAAATGCCTGTGTTCTTTATTTCTGTGAAGTGTAGCAGATACCTTGGGGACATTTTCTTGCCTTGTTTCTGAGAGTTTCTTGTTGGCTCATGTAACCAGCCATTGTTTTAGATTAGGTAACCTTAAAATATTTATGCCTGTGACCTTGCACACTTTTTATTATGGCACCATCTCTAACCCCAATCTGGACTCAGTGGACAAAAATGAAAAGATTCAGCAGCTATTTTTGTGGGTGCTATCTTTCATTGGACCAGTTGCAGGAAGTGACATAGGTGAGTGTAGGAAAGATCCTCTGTGTTTCTGCCATCTATACATTTAGTCCAATAAAGGGTCAGCCATAAAAATCCTCTTGCATTTTTCCTGGACTGTCACCCCCCCCCCCCCCCCCTCCCCCCCCCCCCCGCGCCCACTGGACTGTCCCCCCCCCCCCCCTCCCCCCCCCCCAACGGTGTGAAAACATGATGATTTGGGAGTATGTTTCATAGTACTATCCCTGACATCAGAAGCCCATAAGCACTGCCGTTGCTTTAGGGAAGGCATCTCTCCCTGGAATGTGCACGTGGACAGACATGGAGGGACCTGCCCTGGGGTGGAGACCCCTCAGAACCAAAATCTCTGATTTGGAGTTGCTCCCTAGCTCTGTACCAGTTCTGTTGTTGTCTAGTTCAGGGGTTCTCAACCTTTTTCTTCCTGAACCCCTCCCCCTCCCCCCACACAGCATGCTATAAAAACTACATGGCCCACCTGAGCCACAACTGTTTTTCTGCATATTTAGTAGATTAATAGCTGTATTAAATTGATAATTATACAATTAAACACACCCATAGTGCATAATATAAAAAGAAAAGGATAATAAAAATACAAAAAAGACTACAAGAGTCACTCCTATCTTATCTACTTCTGAGATATGGGAGATGACAGTAGGAACAGCATTTTTCTTCCCAGGGAAGGTTTCCAGCTAACATTTGTTCATGCATACTCCTCATATTTAGATTAAGAAAATAGGGCATGTTTAAAAATCTGTTAGTTAACATGTTGTGAAGCTCGCATTAGACAAGCTTAACACTTTTTTAAACACATATTGACGAGTCATGGTCAGGCTGCACTCCACCACGGGGCAAACAGTGATGGGGTTAAGAAACAGAGTGGAAAATCTAAACTCTGTTCCCAACTCTGTCACTGGGTTTCTATGTAAACTTGGGAAAGCTCCTTGAAAAGTTATGTGCCTCAGTTTCCCCTTTTAAAAAAAGACCTACTCCTTCACTTTCGTAAAGCAATTCTGGCTCTTCCAGGAAAGCTACTAATGCAAAGCACAGCCTGTGAGGAAAATTAAGAAAAAAAAATGCTCATATGTGGATGGGTTGAACTGTTTCTTCTTTTAAATTCCAAACCACATAAATGGGTGTTAAGATGAGTATGAAAGAGATGGGGAGATAGATATAGATATATAATCCCTTTAAAGTTTAACCTCTTTCATGCTTTGTATATGGGGTAGACAGGGCAGGGCTGGGGGGACCCCAGTGGGGCTTTCCCTCCTTGAGGATTTGGGGGCATGGAAACTTTCACCCAAGCACTCTGCCAGGCCAGGCTGGGCAGGGGCACAGCACTCCCCAGTGTGTATGGCTCCTGTGCTGCTGTGGGTGTGCAATCCTTGCTCTGCTCTTCAAGCCCCCCTGGCTCTCAGCCTCTACCCTAGTTGCCCCTGGGGCTGCAGCCATGCCCGTGCTTACCTGCGCGGGAGCCGGGACTCGAGCAGCCCCTGGGGGACAGTGGGTGGCGAGAGACTGCTAGCCAGAGTCGCTACCGGGCAGGTGTGCTGGGGATTCTGCCATGTCAGTGATGCCTGCTCTCTGGTTTATTTTGGTGGGCTCCCTGAAACCTGCTCACAGTCCCCTCTACACCTGAATCATTGGTCTAGTTCTTGCATAGACATGGAAGTTCCTGGTAAAGGATGGAGCCTGTTGCATTTGCACCAGATGTGCAAGTCTTACTCTTGTAGAGAAAGGACAGAACACTGCCACTGATTCTGAAAGCACATTAATGTGTTACATGTTTCTGTTTAGAAGGTATGCATACCTATATTGCAGTGCAGTATATATGTTGCATATATATAGGTAAGGTTTCTTTCATCTGCCTGGTACCCGTAAGAAGCTTACTGAGCTGGCTCTTCCTTTCAGTCAAACCTTCACTTAACCAAGACAGCTAATCAGCAAACTCTTCCTTTATTTAACCCAACTATTTAGTGTGTTCTTGATCTCTTGCTAGCGTTGTTGTTGTTGTTTTATTGGAGCTTGATATAGAAGAAGTAGGGTGAAATCATTTAGATAATTTGATGAATATTTGTCTTAACTATGATGATAGTATCTTCTGGGCTTGTTTTTATCTGTTGGGAGAGACAACATTGGTTGTCTACTACAGCATTTCCTTAGTTTCCCATAATTGCAGGACTACTACCTGGACTTCTGTTCACACAGTTCTACATTTTTTCATCACTTGGGTCTCATGTTGTCTTTGGAAAGACATGTTTTTACTTAATTAGAATTGATTCCTCCTTCTGGGGCATTGGAATGTTTGCCACGTTCCTGCAGGTGGATATATGCACAGACATCTTTGAAAAAGACAAGTTACTTGGGGAAGAAGGGTAACTGGTTTTGCGTGTTGTCAGCATGTACATAACTCTTCCATTTTCCACTTCCCATCAGAATTGTACTCCCAAGTTTAGTAGAAGAAAGTGTCATATCTGAGGGCTACACAGTCTATTGTCCTTAGTCCAAAATGTTCTTTGCTGCTCCTTCTAAGAGTTTAGGACTGGCCAGCTTAGATCAGATTACTCACTTCTTTTGGTACATACTGGTCTAAAGAAGCTGAGAGCCCAGGAACTGGGGGTTGGCTAGGAAGGAGAACAGATGGTTCCTGTGACTCTGTGAGGAGCAAGAAGTATGGCAGAGAAAGAAAATGTCTTCAGGTTGTGGTATTAATTTATCAGGTGCCCTCGGTAGGAAGGCTGACTTTACTGACACTGTACTGTTGTGTTCATAAGAGTCCAGGAGCTGGCAGTGAAAGAGCAGGAGATGACATTGCTACTTGGACCTAATAGAAGTAAAGAGAACCTATAAAATAGAGAAGCTGAGGAGCTATTTAGAGGAAGCTCAGAGAGGTAGACTAGTTTGAGAGGTAACAGACTTCAGGGGAGCTGGTAGTGCAATTAAGGAGGAAGAGTAACGAGACTAATGAGAGAGCACTCCTTTAAGAGGTAGAGTAGGAAGCAGTCTGAAGCCCTGAGGGACTGAGAAACAACATCTGTAGATGGTATAATTTGAGGTCCCTTAGCCAGAACCCAGAGTTGGGGAGGCCTTTGTTTCCCTACTTTTTCCCAGCAGCATAGTTACTGGAGGGAGAGAGACTATGGCTGCAATTTTGAGAGGGTAAAGTACTGTTAGATATTTAGCTGAATGCTTGTATGAGTCACCAGGCTTGTGATTTCCTCATCTGTCACCTGACAGATGGTTCCAATGACATACGTTATAGGTGACAGAAGAGGAAATTGAGGCAAACTTACCGCAAGTCTCTATAACTCAGAGAGGATGCCAGCAGGCCAAGGTGAGTGTTAACCGAAAAAACCTAGGTAGTCTTGAGCGAGTACAACTTTTTTAGAATTTTCCAGTGATTAGTGGCCCCAGACGGAGCATCCCACAGGTGTGAATATGTAGAAGAACTCCTGTTGACTTTTTTTGCTTATGGCTGTTGTAGTTTAAACAAGTCTAATCTGACCATATGGTCATACACAGCAAATTACCACAAAGTTAACAAGGGGCAGTATGTTAGCTGCTCTGTGGGAACTGCCCTATATATATGCTCTTGCCCTATGGATGAAAGCTGACTTGCATCAATTTTCTTCCGCTGTGTGTGCCTGTGCCCTGAAAGGGTCAGTGTAGTCTACCTGGTGAGGTGCATTCAGAAAATTAGTACTCTGTGTGGTGAAGAAAAACAAGCAGTGAGTTCTCTTAAGACTTGTTATTATAGTATTTCCATCCAATGATATTTTAACTTAAAGAAATTTTAAAGGAACAAGCAAAATTTCCTCTCTGACATTTTATAGCGTATCTTTAATGTTGTTAATGTAACTTTGTTTGCAGTAACATCATGCTGTGGCTTCTGTGTCAGTGTTGAAATAATAGGTCTAGTTCATTCTTAATTTGAATAATTTGGGGATTTTCTTCCATTTATTTTGGTGTCCCTGTTTTGCCCTTGTAACTATAAATATCTGTACTTGCAAGGTGATGATGTTCCTTCTGCTTTTCTTTTTAAAAATCCTTGTCAGTGTTGCAGGGTGCTGTAGTTCAAAAACAATTGCCTCAAAATATTCTGAAACTTATGTTACCTGTTAGGTTTTCTGCAGTACTGGGAGATTGAATTCCATGGCCTAGGAGGTCCTTGTTAGTACTGTAAATACATCTTGGAGTGCATGTTAGACACCGATAATATATTCCTGTTCTGTTGGTAGAGTACAAAAAGCAAAAGAAAAAACCATAAAACTTCAATTGTTGGAGAACTTTTTATTTGTACTAAACATCATTGAAAATCGAAACAAAACAATGGCTCTGAAAGGCACCTTGGCCATCAGGTTTTAATTTCCATCAACATATACACATCATATATTGTGCATACTTAATCTGACCGTTTAAATAAAGCAGCTTTGTTTTCCTGAGCACACATACATGTGAATGACTTTACACGTAATTTTGTGTGTGCACTATGTTAGGTTGCATGTTGATTTTAAATAAAGGTCAATTATGGTAAATAATGTCACTGAGTTGCACTCTGTACTTCACAGTGGCAATGTCAATTCTTTGTTTGCATGGTATTTATTTTTGCATGACATGGAATATGTGTTTGTATTACTCTCTGTATAACATGTCTTGTGGTTTGTGCATGCTGCACTAATCTCTGTGTTAAATCTGTCCCCTCTTTATTCAGAGCATGCTGTCTAGGTCCTTTAATTCCAATTATGCTGCAGTTAGCAGCTTTCACTATGGCAGCTCTAGGGATCTGCATGGCAGCCAGGGTAGTGTTGCCTTGAGTGTTGCAGACGGAAGAGGTTCTGGTGTGCACATTGTCCGTGTGAGTACCTACTGTAGGATATTGCAATATGTAAAGGGGGAAAAAGGAGCCTTGAAGTTAGTTTTTAAATCAGTAGTTAAATAGTTTTGCCTTCTTGTATATGGAAAATATTGTCCTAACTATAAAGTACAGTAGTTACATTTTGTGTTGTGGGAGTTCATAGTTCTAAACCCAAACACATGAACTGCCTTAAGTTCATATGTTTTATCCTGTTTACAAGTAGGCTTTTTCACTTACTATATTGCTAATGAAATTTTGTTTTCTAATTGGCTTTCTTAGGCAAATGATTGTGTCTCATTATATTTTCTTGTTTGCCCTTCTTAGCTAAAACAATAAATCATGATCCTTTGTTTCTGATTCTGATCCAGCTTTACAGAGATTTGAGAAGGGGTAAAATAACTAAATATAGTTATGCTGTTTGTTTGGGGTTTTTTAAATTCTGATTTAGCATGTCATTTTTAAAGATGTTTAAAGGCATCTAAGCAAATTAAATTTTTATGTTGGCCAGTAAGAAAAACAGGAAATAAATCCTCAATTCTGAGTGGTTTGAATAATGGTATGTTTCCTTAATCTAGCAGAAAAGTCAAACAGACTTGCCTTAATCTGACTAATACTTGAAAGTCAGCCATGAAAATTTGTTGGCTTTTCTCATGAATCTACCTCTGTTGTTTTTTGGCCAAAGAATTTCAGCAGTTTCAGTCTTAAAAATTGGGGTTAAAAGTCATGAGCATGGTAGGGTAGGATTTCAATTCTCTGTGTAAATTCAAATGATGATATACTTAGCGTCTCTACAAGAAAAACATATGAAAATAAAAGGATTCAGAAGTTTATTCTAATCTTTTTAAGGACTTTTTTTAGTCATCTTGTTAATTTGAAAAAATACTTGCTTACTTTTTCTATCCTGTTTAAAGCATCCCCAGGCATCAACTCCAGGAGAGCAAGGCCAAGATGAAGTATTCATTTCAGGACAGCCGGCCTATTCATCTGCCACACTTAGTCTCAAAGATGTTCCACCAGACAGCATGAAGAAAGTAGCTATACAGGTAATAAACTACATGAAAACCTATGTCCTTTGTGAAACAAATAGTACAGTTTGAAATTGGTCAGCTGTTTTTAAACGAAAAGCAGGATTTGGTTTTCACTCAAGTGTTCCTGGTGAAATGATAAATAATATGGCAATCACAGCAGTGGAGAAATAGAGTTGTCAGGAGAGTTTTGATTTGGAACTTGGTGGCAGAAGTTAAAGGCAAAGCTTTAATAAGCAGAGATCTTGCTGCAAAGGAGGTTGTGTTGCACATGGGCTTCTGAATATGTCACGCAGTCTTAGAGCAACAAATAAATGTAATCTTTTAAAAATATGTCAGCACTTAAGTTGTGGCAAAAATTGCGCCAGGTCTGTATAGTAAACTTACTAGGCGCCCATACACAAGCGTGGCAGCTGCTCCAGCATGCTGGAATTCCAGCGCATTGGAGCAGACTCAATTAATCGCAGCAATTACCGTGCTCCAGCAGCCTCCTGAGTCTCGTGTATCAGCATCCCTGCACTTAAAAATGGTGGTAGGGGCATTTGAACTAAAGCTCGTTCAAAGGTCAAGTGTGCCTGCCACCATTTTTAAGTGCAGGGATGCTGATACACAAGATGTGGCAGCGCTCTAATTAAAGTGCCGCCCCACCCCCAGAGCATGTGTAAAAGTGCCCACTGTGCCTGGAAATATCAGCCCCAAGTACTGTGTGCATTGCTTCACACTGACTGCCTCCAAAATCAGAAATAGTGTAGCTACATTTGTACAGTGTTGTAGGCAGGCTGATTATTTTGCCCTACTTGCACTACTTCTAGTTTAGAAAGTAGCCCAGCTGAAACAGTGTGGCATATTTTAGTGTGGGGTTTTCAACCTTTTTTAATAAGTGTACCCCTGGTGGCCCCCTTCTTAAGTGTACCCCTGTGGGGGTGGCAAGCAGCCAGGCGCGGGGGGGCAAGCAGCCAGACAAGGAGCCGTGGGGGCGGGGGGAGAGAGGTGGCGAGCAGTGGGGCCATGGTGAGCGGCGACAGTGCAGTGTCTATCTGGCCCTGCTCTTGCCCTGCCCTGGCCCTGCTCCTGTGAGACAGCAGTATCAGGGTGGCAACACTCCATCCCCACCTGCCCCCACATACCCCCTGGGACCTTTCAGAGTGCCCCAGGAGCATGCATACCCCCAGTTGACAACCCCTGCTTTAGAGCACTCCAGCCAGGCACCGCAGACGTGGTCATACTAATCTAGTTTCATCTCTAAGGGCCTGGACATGCAACACATTTACAAGTTTAATTTACATTTTTTGTATACAAATGTAAACTGCACTGGGAACTAAAATGGGCAGATGAGCAATTATTCCAGGGTAGCTGCTTGCAGTAAGTGCTTCTGCAGTACTTCACACGTGGTAGTGGAGGAGCAGGTAATCCCTGTTTGCCTTGAGTAAATGGTTATCTGATGATATTATTTTTCCCTTGGGTAATTCTACACCAGATTCCAGTAGACAGTGCTAATGCAAGTGTAAATGTCTGTGTGTCTTCCTTGTTTGTGCTGGCGTAAAGGCTGATTACACCAATGGATATCCTAGAGGCACAAAACAGACCTTGTAACAGATTGAGGTGGCTTTAATTACCTGTAGTGCTTTTCTTATTCTGAGCTGCCTCAAGGTTGAAAAGAAACTCCTCTATGGTTTAGACTGTAAGTGTCATACTGGGTCAGACCAATGGTCCAATGGATGCTTTAGAGTGACAACATACGAACAGGGTATATCTATAGCAGGGGCGGGCAATTATTTTGGGTGGGGAACCGCTTACTGAGTTTTGGCAAGCCATCAAGGGCTGCATGACAGGCAGCCAGGAGCAGATAAATATTAATTTTCTAAATTTTTTAGGGGCCCTGTGGGCCAGATAGAATGGCCTGGCAGGCCGCATTTTGCTCACCCCTGATCTATAGGGATCTATCCCCTGTCCTACCTTCCCTGGCATCCACTGTCATTGGCTTAGAGATGCCAAAGGATACATCCTTGACTGTTTTAATAGCTGTTAATAGATCTGTCACTTCTGAATTTGTCTAGTCCCTTTTTGAACCTGACTATATTACTGTATTTACCTAAATCCAAGACAACCCTGAATTTAAGACAACCCTCTAGTAATCAGGTTCTATACATGGAAATTTCAAAATATTTTTTATAATTGGAGGGTTGTCTGAAATACGTTACTTCCCCTGCAGCATCAGAGAAGACAGTGGCAGGGTTGGGGTGGTGGAGGGGGAAGGTGGCAGCTGCAGCTTTGACCTCAGGTGAGGGTCAGGGCTGGAGCTTCCTGCCCCCTCCCCTCCCCCCCCACCTCATACTCAATTCCAAGATAAGGGGCCTTTCCCCCACTTTAAAGGGAGGGGGGGTGGGGAAGCTCATCTTGGAATTGAGTAAATATGGTATCTACAACCTCCTGGGGTAATGAGTTGCAAAAGTTAATTATGCGCTGCATTAAAAAAAAGTACTTTCTCTTGTTAGTTTTAAACCTGTCTCCTACTAATTTCAGTAAATGCGACCCAGAACTTGATAAATAACAGGTCTTGGCACATGGTCATTTAATGGCACAATGGGATCTGATTCCTGATTCTAGCAATCATGCCTCCTGCCCTGCCACATATGGCTGTTAGAAAATGACTGTTGGACTTGGAGATCAGACCTTTTTGTGCCATTACTACTTCCCAGTGCATGGGGAGCCCAGGATCATAATCCTAGGCTTTCCTTTCACCAGCAGATTAAAAGAGGAGTGCTCTAAGGTCCTGCTGGGGCTGACAGCTGGTTGTTGGCTCCAGCCACACCCCGGGACTGTACCGGGAACTCAGACTGGATCCAGTGTAATCTGGGACTGGAATCAGACCTCATCAGGGCTGGTCTGAATCTCCAATAAGGTGAACTGACAGTCAGCTGATTGTCTCAGTCTGGGACAACAATATGCTGATTAACAAAACCCTGCACCTGGCAGCTCCATCCAGGCTTCATCTGAGTCTGGGGTTCAGTTTAGGTCAAAACCCCTACCTGCCTCTTTAAAGAGGGTGTTTGTTTTCTTTTTAAGTCCAGCCAAATGGGTCTCTTCTCTCTTGACTCTGGCAAAATCAGTGTAGACATATCACCAGGAGGCTAGAGAGAGAGCTTTCCCTA